TCGTTTATGGTCAGTGTACAGTGCGGGGTGTCTTTGAAGATGGCTAGATAAGTCATCAACGTTCGTAATAATATTGGAGGATTTCATAATTAGCAAAGCAAGAAGAGGGATAGCGTCATTAAGAAGTTAATTAATAATGTAACTATAATAAAAACTTGTTCGATCTATATTAAATATAATTTTTTTACATGTCACCTTAAATAAACCTTTCTGTTATTTAGTTAAAGCTTTATGAACAAACTCGTGTTATATTTTCTCTAGTCTTGTTAAATATTTATAATAGCTATCAAATATGAAACACATGCTCATAATGAGTAACATATACCATGATCAGCTAAGTAGGTAATTTCAACCAACGTCTCTTCTCATCATTTTAGCTAGATTGATAATATGGAATGTTACCCAAATTGGCTTTACAAGCCTTTAGGAATTGGAAGCAGTATACGGTAGGTTTTGTTTATACACATACCTTTATATTTTTTTCTGGCGAGGCAGGTTTCGAGTCTATCGAGCTTGACAGATAGTTTTTACTACTCGAGTTTTTGTTCACCTCTTTTACTATGAAAGATACAAAAATGGGCAGTGTATAAATAAAATTATGCCCCATCGTATTTGTTATTAATGTGAATAATATGAAGTTGTTTCATAAACTTTACATTTATCTACATGTATTGAAAATTTTTTCTCTTTCCAGCAGTTCTCATGTCGGGTTTGTTTAGTTGTTTTCAGATATTCGAAAAAAGCTACTAGTCATCACTGATTTTGAGCTAATAGACTAGAATGAAGAAAAATAGTGAACAGCACCCACCGACAACGCTTGGATTACATTTGTATTTCCTCATAACGCAACTAACACGTGGCCCCAAATTGAGGAGCGTAATTTTTTTTATGGTAACGTTGGACTCACAGCTCCGCGTTTGATACCCTAACCATAGAGGTCAAGTTCGGCCCCTCTTACGTCACATTCACTATTTTCTATACATCACCTAACATTATTTTTAAGTATGAACTTTTAGAAAGCTGAAGCTTAAAGTGTTAGAAATTCCCTAATGATTGTAGCTTAAAACAAACTTTCTGAATTATACTATAATTCAGTAATGCATCATGTTTGATGGAAAAAAATCCGAACTATTTTTTAAACAATTATTACAAAAATCTATCTCATGACTCATAAATCCAATCTTTGTGTAGGCAAACTGGTTTAGGCAGAAGTTACCTTGTTTTGAAACAGTTTGTTCTCACGTTTATTCAAATAGAATACTTTATTGATTTGGCAAAATAATTGAAAAACTATTATTTTGTACTGTATATATGAATGCAAAATTAGCTAACCTGGTGCTTCATATTTTACGTCTGTTCACGTTGTTTATTCAGATTTTAATTTTCGCAGTGACACGTAATATAAAAAGAAATATGTGTAGAAAAATGATTTTACAGAAGAAAGCAAAAACCATGTTGTTATATGTAAAGTATAACAACAGAACGCACGTATAACATAAATACGTATAATATTACTTTGCAATCTTTCACTAAAAGTACCTTTACACTTAAGAGAATTCTAATGCTGAATTGTCACACTCAGAAAGTTATTAAAATTTTCATTTAAATATGCAATATTTTGAAAGATGGTGACTAGTGTAGCACGTTCTTCCCTTAAAAAAACAAAACAAAAATGGTTGGCAGAGCACAGATAGCCCATTGTGTAGCTTTGTGCTTAACTTCAAACAACAACAACAAGCACTTCTAGAAACCGGGTTTTGATACTTGTGGTGGGCACAGCACAGAGAACCCATTTTGTGGATTTGTGCTTAACTATAAAAAAATAAAAGGTTAAGGATTTATAACACACACAAAAAAAATCAAGGTTTAAATTTCGCTACTCGAGGGCTATCTGCATTAGCCGTCCCTAATTTAGCAGTGATAGGCTAGAGAGAAGGCAGCTAGTCAACACCACCCACCGCCAACTTTTGGGCTACTCGTTTACTAATGAATAGTGAGATTGACCACAAATATTATAACACCCGCACGGTGAGGGGGATTCGAACCCGCGACTCTCGCAACCAAACATAAACTATATTGACGCTGATCTGTATGGGAAGGTAATGCTAATGCCTTTATGACAAAATTAGATAAACAACTTAGATGTATAGTTTCCGAGTATCATTGGTTATTCAGTCTGTACAATTGTTAAAACACCTATTTTAGATTTCTGCAGTGCAAATATAATATTAAGAAAATAAATATGAAACTAAAATGAAATTAATACAGCGTCTTCATCATTATAATATGTTGAATCAAAATAATACGACTCTTGTTGTCTGAATTTATTGTAAAATACGGTAAGTGTTCGATAACTTCCCAAATTTCATGAAGTTCAGTTTGAATTTATTAGTAAAACATTTTTTCTTGAAAGTTTATAATTCAGATGATATGATTATAGTGCGTGGTATAAATAGTATATGATAAAAAGTGAAACCAATTTCGTTAATTGTGAGTAAAGCACTGTCTTAATAACTTTGTTGAATGGTTGGTGGATGAAGCAAAAATGTATTGTTTTGTAACAAATTAAACTCTTGTTAGATGGCAGCACAAAACATCTTAGCGTAACAAGCTTATTTTTTGGGTGTTTGGATAACGTGACATATTGTCACAATTAATTATACATTGTTATTTATTTTGACAATAATAATAATTTTATTTTTGTTGAATATGTTTTTCGCTATGATAAAAATGTTTGCTTTGTTATTCAAGTTTTTATTTAGGATTTCAAGTAATTAAGAATTGAAAATAACCAAAGAATATAACAAGAATTATACATTTTTGTCATTTTCTTATAGTGTATTTGAATTTATTCGTGCATTGGAATCTGTAATGAAAAAAAGTTGTGGAATAGTCTATGATAAATTTAAAATCAGCTAAACAAATTTTCTTTTTTCGTGTATTATGCATATAGTTCATAATTTATAAGTTTGCGTTTGGTGATTCACCTGTTATTGTTATGTATTAGAATTTCTAATGGTCTGAAATTAAGTTAACTAATAAATTTAAATTTAGTAGTTAAATTGTACTTTAGATTTAGTATTTAAATACGCCGATATATTAGTCAATTTACGATATTTGCCAACAAGATTGATATAAACCGTTTTCGTTTTTAACAAACAAATACGTTTTAATATACACACAACAATACAATTTACAATAACACTTATTACAAATAATTACTATAAGCAATAATTTATAAACAGAAGTTTCACAAACTTACAAACAATATAAAGTTTTCTTTCTAGTCTGGAACCTCTTTGATATCTTATCGAGGGTTCACGAAGAGCGAGTTAATTTCAAGTTGATGTAGATACGATTCGCTTAACGTGAAGCTAGCTAGCGTTGTCCTTTGCCACACACGCTGAATTTTTGGTCCGTTAAAGTTAGGTAATAATGCTTGGAGACGGCTTGAATGGGCAATGAAGAAAAACTTTAATATAAATTTAACATAACAGCAAATGTTCAACGTTTCGACAAGGTTTTGTCCTCATGATGATGACAAAACCTTGTCGAAACGTTGAACATTTGCCGTTTTTCCTCATAGCCCATTCAAGCCGTCTCCAAACGTTATTAGTCTTAAAGCGGGTTCCTCGTCATCAAATTTGAAGTTAGGTAATGTTTTCGTAAAAATACTTATGTCTGATGAGAATATTCTGAAGTTAAACGATTTGTAATGTTCGAAGTTTAAAATATCCCTGGCCAAATATCTTAAATTTTCCGATTAATAAGCGTTATAAAAATCACAGTTAAAGCTTTCGAAGCTTATAGCGCACTGATTATAGCCTATCACTAATAGACACTCTCTTTTGGCGCGGCGCATTGATTTTGTTTATAGGCGTGGGAAGGTTTTCTATAAAATTCAGATTACATAACAATAAAAGTTAAAGCGTTTTCGTACACAGATATATTGTTGATTCTTACTCTCGAAAATCTTCTACAACTTTAGAGAATAGGCGGGAGTTTCTCAAATTTATAAAGTGTGGGCTCATTATACTTTAAAAAGGTGGAATGAAACCTAAGATGATATCAAAATAATCCATAGAAAATTAGGATTTTGTATTTGCATTAAATGCATTTTGCTTCAGAAATGCAGGTTGTGTTTGAAGTGCATTTTTAATACTAATTTCTCCCTCTATATCTATCTTTAGACGTATCACTTAAAGTTCAACTAAACATGTTCAGTGAACATGGGTCCCCCAGTGGCACAGCGGCATGTTTGCGAATTTACAACGCTAGAATCCGGGTTTCGATACACGTGGTGGGAAGAGCACAGATAGCCCATTGTGTAGCTATGTGCTTAATTACCAACAAACAAACAGTGAACATGGTTTATCTTTTTTTTTTTACTTCTGTTTGTACGAAACCCATAACAAACAATTACTTCTGTAAACACGTACACCTAACGTAATGATCACACCTTTTAATGTATTTGTCGCAGCTTGAACTGAAAATGTGATTTAAATTTTCTATCTGTAAAAATTTAAGGAATTATAGTACATTTTAGTTAGTAGGATTGGATACATAAGTTTAATATTACTAAAATACGTTTGTAATGTTTCAGAAAGTTAAAATCAGAAAAGCTTACGATGGTTTCAATCCATGGACCTTTGGATTATGGGCCCAGTATGCCTCCATTGCGCCACTCTACTATGGCAATGAAAGATTATTTAAATTAAAAACAACTCACAAGGTCTTTTTTGCCTCTTTTTTTTTAAGGCTTGTTTTGCAATTATTGCATTTTACTTTTTATTTTCAAATAAAATATATATATATATTAACTTTAATATAACTTATGTTGTAAAGTGGTGAGAAAGATGTAAAGTAGATTGATAAGGAGATGATTAAACACATTATCGTAGTAAACAGCAATAAACAACTAATAATTTACATTGTAAGACATTTCCAACAGGACGCCATTTATCAAGTGAGCAGTCACATTTCATACACATAAGTGTTGTCAAACGATTTATCATAAACTGTAATTTCCTGTGGGAAATAACTTAATCCAGAGCTTACTCGTTACGAACTTGTATAACAATCAATAATTGAGTTTAGGCATAAATCCTATTTTACTTAGTTATAACTTATAAGTATCTTATTGACCCACATTTCAGTTACTTGAGTATTATTGAACGTTATTTTGTCGTTTAAACTTAGTGTAGTTCATAGAAAATTGTTTTGAACACAATCAATAGGTATCTATCCTTTCTTTTTTCTAGATACTGAAAAGCAAGTTTTACGGTTAAGTTAAAATACCAATAGTACAAAATATGTAAGATTCAGCATATACTGCACAACAAACATGTTACACTTAGGTTTTATCATCGTCCTGGTGATCTATACAGTAGCTGTGAGATAAGTTCGGCTCTAACCTAACATTATAGGTTAGGTTTCTTCCGCAGTAGATATGTCCCATAAATAGCTTGCTCACATAGCACTCCAAAAATGGCGATGTATTCCAGAAGCGCTGAGGTTGCGGTATTTCCAAATTTGGGAGGAAACCTGATTCCATCAGAAGTTTTCATTGCCTAATTTGTTCGTGTAAGAAACATTGACATTGTCTTGAATAACGTGTCTTACACTCTCTAAGATATGGCTTGGTGTAAACACCTTTACCAGTACTACACATGTTTCATCTTGTTCGTAGCTCACTTGAATTTGAAACTTGAAGTTCTAACTTGTTAGGCTTAAGGAAACGTTAAGTTGAAAATATTAAAATGCTCAAATTTTAGGCGTCTGCAATGCAATTATTGAGCTGAGAGTGTTCTCTGTGCTGCAAGTTGGTTTTGTGGATAACACGAGGTATGAATAGCTTGCTTGCTGCTTCTTTTTTTCACGTGTGTATCACTGTAGTGTATGTTCGGGAGCTTATGCCGTTATGACAAAGTTGGTTTTAACGTGGGTATACAAAAGCACCGTTTTGAAAACTCTTCCCCTATGTCTAAGGGCTATATTATTTAGAAGATTAGTTTTATTTTAATGGTTTTTAGTTAGTAAGTTTTGTACATTGTTTTATACTTTACAGTGTATTTGAATTATGTGATTAAGTATTTGTCCGCAGTTACTAAGGGTCAAGTTAAGTAGAGAGAAAGACAGATGGTAACGGCGTAATATTATTAAATCTCTAATATAAATAAATTATAATATCTTGCCGTCTTACGGCTGGGGGTTTTGTTGCGTCGACTTTCGTTATAATGTAATTTTGTAAAGCATATGTTATTGTTGTTTATTATTGTTATATTTCCATTGTAGAAATATAATGAAGCTTATGAATATTTCAGTTTTGCCTGAAGGTCAATTATATTACAAATGAGCTTTGATGAGTTTATTGTTAAACTTAGGCCTACTCAGACGTATTTGTTTACCGATTGTGATACTGATACTTTTATTTTTAATAAGATAGAACACTGGCTCCGTGATAGTGTGACTGGATCGTCATACTTATGTTTCAAGCTATGTTAAGGCTAATGTAACAGTATTATAATAATTTATATTTCATTATGAGGGTTGATGAAAGAAAAAATAATTTATGTTTGTGTAACTCATAGTCATAACACAAGTACACACACACACATATATATATATATATTTATGTATAGGTAATCAAGATGTAATATTTGATAGAAGATTTAGGCCTGCTGTTACTTCACCTTTTCAAGTAAACTGTTGTTAAACTTTTTTTTCCTCTCTCCCCAAAATGTGAAATATTTTGCATTTATTATATCTTTTGTACATATAATTAGAGAATAGAAATTACTTTTGCAGGACTGTAGTTCATATTCTTAAATACAACATTAAGTTGCTTAGTGTATTTGTAGTAGTAGATTTAAAGCTACAAAACTGTAGGTGTTGATATTTGCTACTCTTGTAAGTGAAAGACTCACTACTGGTAGTGGAAATGGTATTGATGCCATGTGCTAATATTGTTTAAAAAGTGATGAATGTTTTACTTATGAACTTTTAAAACCTTTTTTGCCATGTTCAATAAAACCTCAAGGAAACCAACATGTCAAAAATGTTTTCATTAATTCAGCTTACTGTTTAATCCTACAAACATATAACATTCCTTCCCATGTTCTTGTAAAGTGTAATTTTAAACCATTTTTGTAAGGTAAACATTTAATTTTTTTGAAGCATTGTATTTTCATGTAGAAACATTAAGGGTAAATACTTGTCAATGAATAAGGTTTTTCACTTTATCTGAAATGTTTTGGGTAATTGCCCATTGAAACTCAGAATTTGTATGAAAAATAACTGATTTCAGACCAAAATGATTTTTGTGTAGCCCCAAAAGTAAATTTGAAATACAACTTAATCTAGAATTTAAGAATCCTTGTCGTACTGTATGGACTTCTACGTTAACTGTTTACCAAGTAAAAATTTTTATCATGTAGATTACATAAGTTTGTAGACTTGTTATATACAGATTTATATTCCATGAGCAATGCATTGAATTTCACATAATGTATTTTATCAGTCAATGAATATCATAGCATTGATACAACTTCTTGTTAACTGTAACTCTGTATGAAGATTTAAGGTGCACTGATAATAGAGGATTGTAAAACAAGTACTAGATTCAATTGTTGGGTGAACTGATTGAATAAATTCATGTGAAGTGTGAACTGTGGTCAAGCAGTTCCAACTGTCTACTCAACTTGTGGAAACCAGTGCTAGTTGTTTTCAGTATCAACAGCTTGTACAGTCATGATCTCTAGGATAATAGAAACTGTTTATTTCATATATGTATTTCATTTGGTCCATCCTATAGTTTTGTTAATATGAATAGTATAATTTGGGTTAAATTAAGACATTATGGTTATCTGTATACATGCATTTAAGTGAAGGAATCTTGTAAAATGGCTGTATTTTGGTTTTATTTCATGTAAGTTGCACTTTAATTTGTAACTGATGATAATACAACAAATATAAATTCAGTACATGTAGTAGATGCTAGAGAAAATTCTAGAGTTTTTTGAATGCCTAAATATCTATTGTATTAAAGTTTTAGTGTTTTTGAAGGTAGGTTTAATTATAAAATATGGTGGGTAATGAAAGACTTCGTATCTGTTATTTTACTTGTGGCTGTCAGCTAAAGGTCTGCAATTAATTAATAAATTCAAATAAAAATAGTTGGTACAAAATGCATGGTAAATTATTTACATAAAATGATAAATTTGGGAAAATATTGAATGGACATAGTTTATAGTTTTTTTTTCAGTGGCTTAGTCCTCCATGAAAATTATAGCTTGTATAGTATTTGTAGACCCAATGTTACAACAGCATCTGTCATCCTTATAAGGCCATGCTGTCAGCAAAATTAGAAACACGTCTTTCTCAACCCCACCTAACTAAATACCAGTTGGTCTCCTCTCTCAATGTCCTATTTTAGTATAAAGAACTGTTTTAGAAATGAATTTGCCATGTAGTAAAAATCTTGCCACTGGTCTTTGATGCAAGTTCATGCACATGTTTTATAAGTACAGTTGTTAATAGCTTCAGATAAAATGAAAGCCTAAGTTGTGATACCTGCCTATATTTACTTTGTGCATGACTTTATGTGGTCTTGTATCATGACTGCCATACAAATCTATTAAGGGCAGTTTGCCAATGCACTATGATTGGTTGGAAAAAAATTCTATGATTATAATTGGATCAATGAAAGATGCATTAAAGAAAAAAATGTTTTCTTAAGTCAGTATGAGCCAGTTAGATATTTATATTAGAAACTGAACACTAGTTCAGTAGGGTGATTCCAGCATGAATGTACCCAGTGTACATTTATCATAAATTACTTATACACATGTCTAAAGCCTGAGTGGAAGATTTCCCATTATTTCAAAACAGTGTAAGAGATATCTAAAAAAATGAATACTGTAATTAACATACAATTAATAGTACCTTAAATATAGTTGTGAACTGGTTTCTTCATAAATTGGATGTTCTTGAGGTTTTCACAGAGAGAAAATTTTGTTTAAAGTAAAAACAAAATAAAGGTTTACTTTCCTTTGCTGTTGTAAGTAGTTGTTGAACCAGTAAAATAGAAAGTGATTTCCCCATACCATGTGTATAGCATGATGCTCTTTGGGAATAATACTTGTGACTGTGTGTTTGCTAAAAATATTTCTTTAAATAAATTTTGTGTGTAGATAAAAAAAGAATAATGAAATTGAGCATTACTTACATTAGATATTTTTTTGTTTTAAGTAATTATAATACCATGTGTTTCACATTTCATTTTGTTTCTGCATCATGTTTTTAGGAGAAAGTTTAGTACACATATTATAGCACATACATGGAAGTAAACATTAATTGGCTAGGCTTACTAGAAATGTTTTAAAAATTGTTAGGGCAATTTACATATGTCAACAGTATTCCAAGCCTGAAAACTTTATATAGTGAACTGATCATTTTAATGGCTAAAAACATTTTTTGTTTCAATATTACGGCACCTCTAATTATACAGAAATTACACCCATAGATCTTTGACATCTTGAAAAAAGTTATTTCCATTTGTGAAAACTGTTTATAATACTTGATGGTCATTTAGTCATCTATGTATACATTGTTTGGTTTATTACTGAGAATTACTGTCTTACAGTACATGCATGTGATGTTTTGGTAGTGTTACAATGTGTACGTTAAACTTTCAACTTAACTAAAGTTTGGAGATAGATAGGTGATTCATGTATTGTTGAGAAGACAAAGTTGAAAATTTATTGGAGAAAGAAATATACTGTAGAACCTAATGAAAATGTCAAAATTCAACAGAATAAATTACTGAAATTCATTTTTTTGAAGTGCCAAAAGTAATTTTCTTTCATATTAATCATGAATTCAACTCGATTTTCAGTTTCTTTCTTTGGCTACTTTCAAATAAACTGTATAAAAACACAAAGTCAAGATGTGATTTTCTACATACTGAGCCATATACAAAAGCCAACCAGTAGCACAGTTATTAAGCTGCAAATGATCATTTACAGGTTATCAATTAATTTCTTATCCATCATTTCTTGCTTTGAAAAGTATCTCTGACATTCTCAATTTGACATGAACTCCTGTAGTTCAATTTAACATTACCAGTATTTGATGATTCTGTAATATTCCTAACACAGAACCTTTTTAGGCTTAGCTTTAATTTATATTTATTATATTTATACTAAAAACAATAACATCTTTTATCTAATTTGTTACTCATACTTACAAAGAAGATTTATCTGATATTATATTATATAACATGAAATGATACTGCATAACAGTTTTGAATGTTTGATTTAGCACCAGATATTTCTGTATATATATTTTATAAACATATTAAAATCATACTATGAAAGTTTCCTTATTTAACAAATGCAGTTTCATAAACTTAAATGTGATGAAGGATGCTGTGCTTTGATTTTTTTGTGTGGATGTAATCTAATTTTTTGTTTGTCTGGTAGGTTGTTGATTTTATGACAAAGTGAGTTAGCTCCAGTGTTTTTGTAATATAGGTTTTATTATGATAAATTTTCTTCTTTAAAAGTTTCTTATTTGTGCTAATTTATGCATTTACCATCTAATCTGTTATGACCTTAGGAAGTGATATGATGGAAAACTAAATACAAATTCAAAACTGTAATAATGTTCTACTTATTGTAATTAGCATTATGACTAAATCTAGGTCAGAGAAAATGAGAAGGGGCAAATTAAAGCTCATAAGACATGGTGTAGTAATATCTGTAGATTTGCTTTGTTTATACCATAACAAAAAGTGTCACACTGAAGGTTTCCTAAAGGTAATTTAAGTACGTGTAAGATATGATACAAAAATGAGAAAGTGCTGAGTGTTTTAATTAGTGATAAAAGCAGTGAAAAATTATAAATGAGAGTTAGGTGTCTAATGGAGTGTAGTGTATGCACTTTTGGTTTTCTTAATATAGGAAAGGCACCAATATATTTGAAAGTGTGTAAATATGGACTAATGTAATGATACCTGGTTTAAAAAGTACAAGTCTGGAAGAGAGAATTGAATATTTAAGTTTTTATCTTAAGTTTAGAAGAACTACATGTTGACATGATTTAACAGTTTAAATTGTTATAGGCTTGAATAATCTGTCTCAATTATCTGTTTGATTGATGAAATGAAGAAGATAGGGAAAATGATATGAATATTATTGGGTACTGGATTCAAGTTTTGAAAATTTAGATCCATACTTGTTCTTTGGCAATAGTTACTGTTGTGTTAGAATTAAGTAGTGGAATAGTTAACATAACATAATGTTTAGGGACAACATGGGACCTGTTGGTCCATCTTGGCTGTCCCATTCTCTAAACTGAACTAAAACTATTAAATAAATAAATTTAAAAAGAAATCTTAAAGCCAGCCCTTATCATTCATATAATTATCAAGGTATCTCTGAAACTCACTTAAATTTACTGTCTCTGCAACATCTGAAGGCAACTCTTTCCAAGGCCTGTTGGAAAAAGATAACTGTTTGAGCAAGATGACTCCTACCTTGCCAAAATTTGTATTTGTGTCCCCTAATCCTATTATTCTTGCCATTAAGTATGAAAAAACACTATCAATTCCCTTTATAATCTTAAACACCTCAATCAGATCCCCTCTAACTCTTCTTTGTCCAAGAGAAAACAATTTCAGAAATTTTACCTCTCCTCATATGACAACCCCTTCATCCCAAGCACCATTCTAGTAACCCTCCTCTGAATCTAAAATCCTATTTGCCCTACCACTAGCAACAGCATACTTCTTGGATGGCTTAAGAGACTGATCAACCATTACACCAACGTCCTTTTCTTTCATGACACTGTTACGGTTATTCCCATCCAAATTATATTTATAATTCAAATTATGATAACTTGTATATATTATCTTGCACTTATTATAATTAAAACCCATCTGCCTTATATTTGCTCAACTCACTAAATGATCAAAATTATTTTGTAAAGCAGCAACATTCAAGACCTTAATATCATCAGCAAATTTAAGTAATTTATTGATCATTCCTTCATCTACGTAACTGATGTAAAGGTTCTAAGACTGAGCCCTGAGGTATCCCACTTGCAACATTAATCCAGTTTGTTTGAACCCCATTTATAATTACCCCTGCTTTCTTCCATCCAGACACTGTTTTATCAAATTAACTAACTTATCCCCCACTCCTATGGAGATTTTTTTTTTACGAGCCTTCTATGTGTCACTTTATCAAATGCTTTCTGAAAATCCAGATACACCAAATGTACACCCTTACCCTCATCTACATAAGTAGTAACCTTTTCAAAGAGTGTCAAAAGATTTTTAAGGCAAGATTTTCCTTTAGTGAAACCATGTTGACTATTCAGTAAGATTCTAAACTTTCTTAAATGACTTTGCAAAGCAGCTTTAATCAGACTTTCCAAAACTTTTCCCACAACTGATGTAAGACTAATGGATCTGTAATTACTGGGACAATTTTTATCACCTCCCTTGAAAAGAGGAGTTACATTAGTTAACTTCTAATCCTCTGGTACCTGTCCACTATCCAAGGACTGACAAAAAATAGTAGTAAGTGACTCACATGTCCAATCTTTAACCTCCTTCAAAACCCTTGGGGAAATATTATCTGGCCCAGGAGCCTTATCATTCTTTAAGTTTTGTATAATTAAGTTATGGCCTGATCAACCCCTTGTACATATTAATTAGTTCCTCTGACCTACCGTTCCTTACATCATTAATCCCAACATGCGCCACAAAAACTGCACAATTGCTAGCCCCCTTTATTATATCTCTTGCTCTATCATTTATATCCTCCACCTGTGCCCCTCGGTAGCATAATCTATTTACCCCACAGACTATCCTATCCACATGCCTTGTCAAGAAATCATCTATAACTTTCACCTCCTTAAGTTTATCATCTACATTCTTCTCTGTCCCTTTTGGTTTCTTTCCCTCCAATAGTTCCTCATCTGCAGAAGCCAAGGGCTAAAATCTGTTGCCCAATAAAATAGGCTCATTACAATTAACTTCAATACTTTTAGCCTTAAAAGTACTCATTCTAATTTCCTGAAAGTAATTGTTAGCTGGTGTATCCCTTGTGCGTAAAAGCTTAAGCTCCTCCATAAGATGTTGCATGTGCCATTATGCATTCTTTTAAACTTTTGTTGGAGTGTTATATGGATTTAAAGGCTGTCCAGAGGTAACATCATTTCCCTGAATGGCATGTTATATTACCCATTCATGTGCCCTAAGCAGAAAACTCCATTTGAACTACATATTATTGTTTCAAAAACTTTGTTAGTTGTATGTCTGTGTGTATTTTTTCAGGATATGGTCAAGCCAAAATGATACCATTAAATGGCAGTCTTAATAATAGTTTCTCATAAATGTTATTTGTAGAAAGAAGAGTGGCAAAATCAATAAAACAGCAACATACAAACATATGAGAAGAAAAGAAGAAAAAAAAAAAATTCTACTGTTATAATATTAAAGCTAGGTTTCTGTTTTTCCCTTAACATTTTCATTAAGGGAAAAACACTACAAGTTTTAAAAGATTTTTTAAAAATCTACATTTCACAATCATCAAATAGATTGGGAGAAGTTGATTAATGTTACTAGCAGTACAAGGTTCACCCTCAATAAGTACAATTTTGCTCTTTTTTTTTTCAGAGTCTGGTAAAGAAAGTTGACTTTTTTTTCCAAAGATGATGGTCGTTGATTGCGTGTTTAAGAGACACACTACATTGTGTGGTACTGATGTCTGAGGGTGTAGAGCGACCTTTGACCAGATTAAACAGTAGTTCAAGTGATCAGAGAATAGAAACTATTTGTCAAGAAGAAATATTATCTAGTGGGGAAGGCACAAGTGATATAGAAGCACACTGCCAAAATGCTGAAGATAAAACCAGCATGGTTGCTTTACATCCTGAGTTTAGCACTGGTTTTACTAAGCTGAGGTCCTTACTTGAATCCCCTGACAGAAAAATGACTGTCAAACAGTCAGAGACCAATGATAAGGAAGACTTGCAGTTTAGAGGGGAAAACAGCAATACTTCTGCATCTGAAACAATTCCAAGGTAAGTACACAAAATAATTTGTATTTACACCAGACTTTATTAGGATTCTTAAGCACACATATATTCACAACATGAAAGTTTAATTTTTAAATGAATTTTGTAAGCATGAAATTTAATACAAAAAAATTGTAATTTATAAGTATGTGTAGTTTCTTAATAAAATAGTCGTACCTCACATTAAAGTGTAACAATATCAGTAATAGGTAAAAATACTTTAACTATTTGACCAGTTTAGAGAATGTCTAAATATATATATTTTACACAAGATAAAATTGTTGAAAAAATTCAACAATTTTTCAACATGATATTTCTATTTTTCCACATCTTGATAAGTTGTATAAAACATCTTACATAAAGAGTGCCTGTAGTATATGGGTTTCACTAAGATTTGAAATAAAACTGTTAAAACTTCATTTATAGTATTTTATTGATTAACCTTAAATGCTGGAAAGCTTTTGATTAATATGTTTTTCCAAAATTATATAACTTATATATTTTTTTCTTTTTGTATTTGTAAATATGTGTATCAGTACTAGTATCTATGTAAACTCTTTTAGGTAACTAAACAGTTGTATTTTGAAAGTTTTCATTGGTTGAATTTCTATTCAGTGTTGTATAAATTTGTTCAAGAGGATGTATTACGCTCAACTAAACATACTAATTAAACTAAATATATTGTTCATGGTTAAAAAAAAATGTTATTTTGATTTTGGTACAGTCTAGAAGTATTAATGGTAATAATATCCATGAATCTATTGACATTTGAGTGTATGGGACTGTGTTTAGTCTCAAGGTTTTTATCTTTATACAGTAAATTAGTGAGTAAATGTTTTATTGTATTTTGAGACTGGGGAGAGTCTCATTTCTAAATATTTATTGTGAACCATTAAACAATGGTTTTCTTTTAATGTCTGTACTATTCAAAGTTTATACAAGTGTTGTTTTAACATTAAAGTGGACATGTATGTTTATAAGTTGTTGAGATCTGAGAGTGTATTTTATGATTTTGATAGCGAGAAACCCTCAAAAATGAGAATGCATGTGGTTAGAAATTCTGTAAAACCAATAAATGATGTAAAATGTGTTTGATGTAAAATTTGATATACTGGTAATCATAAACATGTGGAAATGAGGTGAAGATGACATTTGTGAGTTGTTAAAAAAAAGCCAGAAAACAAGTTGCAGTAATACATATTTGTATTTTCAGTGAACTTCAGCTTGGACCAGATTTTGGCTACTCACAAAGATATTTTCACATTTCTGATGGAAATTTGTACAGTGTTTTTTCCCCCCTTCAAGGAAGAAGCTATGGTGTAACCCCCTCTTTTCTTCGTAAGCGAGGATATGCAATTAGAGGTTCCCGTGGCAAAGGGAGAAGAAATCAGCGTAGAGGACTCAAATTTCACAACTTCATTCCATCTGAAAGTATCACGTCAGAGAGAGATGAAAAAACTGCTGATGATGTTTGGAAGGTCCATGCTGAATGTAGACTACGAGAAGAACATGGATCAAAACAAATAATGGTGTCCCATTGGTCTCTTTCTTCTAGTAGTCCATCAGGTACAAATCCTGTTCCCTCTAATTTACCTTCTAGTCTTTCCTCTTCAGATGGAGCTACTTCAGAAGAAAGTAGGGAGTTTTCTTATGAACAAAAGCCACAGGAACATTCAATGACATCCAAAAACAGAGAAAACTTGAATAACATTTATTCTACACCAGAGCCTCAGAGTTCACCTCATTCATTGCCACTTCTCTCATGTAGATCTAGTCATGGGACATCATCAGTTGTTGATAAAATTCTTTTTCATAAGCTCTTAAAAAAAGACTTGGAAGACTCTCAAAATTTTATTCCTGTGTATAAGGAAACATCTGTGGAAAACATGCCGATGTGCAAACAAAACAGTCTTTCAGATTCTGTGGTTAATGTGTCAAATCAGAATACTCAGGGTGTGAAGAGTGATGCAAATTACTCAGAATTAAAACCTTCAGTTGGGGAAGGTATTGGGAAGAATGTTTTTCATGAAGGTGAAGAGGAAGACATAGTTTCAGAAAGAAAGCACAAACGTAAGCCGCTTCACACAAGAAGAGTAGTTCCTTATTTCAGATATCTTTCCATGATTGAAGGTAATCAAGATGTTCCATTAGATCTCTCCTGTAAACAAAAACCTAACTGTGATAACACATGTTTTGTAAATAACTCTAGTTCTGTCACCAGGAAATTAAATACATTAGAAAAGCATATGCCCCCTTTTTTGCCAATTTCTAGAATTCCATCTCAACATGCGGGAAACAGTAAGTCGTCTACTTCATTTGGAAAAATAATGCCAAATAATACCCATCTAACTTATCCATTAGGTGTTAAAAATAAAAAGATGCATCTTGGAAAAACACCTTCCTCCAGAGTTAAAGAAGTAGAACTTTCAAAAGAGGAAGATGTTACCCCAACATCATTGCCTTATATTTATACAGTAGAGGATCTAGTCAACCAAACAGATTTACCTGTGATCTCTCTTCCTTCTCTATCAGATGTACAACCCAGTAACTCATTTTTAGCATCATCTCTCCATAACAGCTTATGTAACAAACCTGGTAATACAGACCAATTAGCACATAGCATTGTAGAAATACAAGGATCACCATATGGTGCCTTGCCAGCAAATCAGTCATCTTCATCACTGCCTTCTGGTGCAAGTAATATTTTCACATCTAGTGCCTCTTCATTTAATAATTTATTATCTTTGCCATCAACTTCAACATCACAACCCAACACCCATTTCATGTGTCAGGAAACAGCATTAAGGTCCAACTTTCGTCTTCCAAAAAATCCTCGAAAAGCCAGTCAGCGCACCATCATCAAACAAAAACTGGAAGATGCTTTCCGGCAGAATGGATTCTTGGTCCAAACTAAGCAGGTCTCAGACGGTGATGCAACATTTTGTAAGTTTCGTCAGCTTCGGAAATACACAAGGTATTACTTGAAAAGCTGGCATCAGCATCTTCCAGATGAAGTTCACAAGTTGTGGAAAGGTTTTCTTCCACCCAAGACTGCCTTACCCCATACAACTGTGGGCACAAGAGGTGAGCCAGCCACTGTTGTATGCCCCACTAACTCCAGTAAGGATAAACAAATGGATGAAAAACATGGCCAGAGCTGACCTGAAAAACATCTAGTGTATAGTAATGTGCTAACTCAATATCTTGTACTGGTAAAAGATGCATAAACATTTCATTTTGAACTGTGTGTAGCTATTTCTCGTTAGTAGCACATGCTGTTTAACCATGCACTTCACATTTCTTTTAGTTTTTGCTCTAGGCAGTATTTTAAGGTTTGACATGTGTCAAAATTTTGTTCGACTGGTTAGAAAGTAGAAAAACTACATACATAATTTTTTGTATACTTACCATTATTTAACAGTTTTATACAGCAAGCAATTAAAGGATAAGCAGCAAAATTGCTACCAGTTTGAAGAAAAATTTATCACAATTGAAATTTTATTTTTTCATTTCATGAACTTTTATTTTATGGCATTCTTTGATGATTGATATACATAGTACTACAATAGATGTAAATAGTTATACTTGGAACCATTCGTTATAATAATGTGTGAGAAATATTCATTTTGACAAAAAAAATGTACTTGTTATGTAAGATTATCTCCTAGTAGAGATGTTTTATGGAAAATTATCCATTGGAAATTTGTTTCTAATTCTTCTTGTTCTTAAACTTGGATTTATTGCATATTTAATATTTCAACACCCCAAAATATTGCTTGTCACAAATTACGTGTTAAGACTTTTTTTTTAATTGTCAGTAACATTTTCATTTAGGGACTTTGCTTTAAATAGAATTACAAGACATAGTCATAATTAGAATAGGAGGGATGATTTTTCTCTGTTTGTTTTATAGAGTATTCCTTGTTTGTTTCTATTGCACTTTTTTTAGTACTTATGAAAAATTGTAACAAAAATATACAGCTTAAAACCATTAACAATCACTATCCACAAGTTCCAAATTTCCACTCTATTTTGCTATAGCATCATTCAGATTCACTGTCTTCATTCTCACTGATTTCTTCCTAATTTTTGCTGACTCCATTTCAGCTAATGTTCATAGTTGTTGCTGCCAGATTTTACTCTCTATTGTCAATCCACACTGTTGTCTTTTTCTGTTACCACTGTCCAGAGCCTCATCTTGGGGGGTTTGGAATTATAGTGCACAGTAATAAGGTTAGCTGTTTGCTTCATAAGGTTAATAAGGTTAGCTGTGAATGGTATTGCTTTAGATATTTGTTAATACATTACTGAAAGACACCAGTTGTGTTTGCTAGCAGCTGTGGTAAGTTGAAAATTTAATACTTGCATTGTAACTTTAGATAACTGCTGAACATCCATAGAATCCTTTTGACCATTTTCAGGTGCAGTGATGCTAGCTGACTTCCATAGAACTTTTCTGTTTTATAATTTGTGCCCAGTTTTGTATTTAGCCAAACTATTTAAATAACCACTAAGTCTATGTTGAGAATATACTTAGCTACCATTATGGTCATCTTGACATCAGTACTTTGGGTCTGAACATGATGAAAGCAAAAGTCGTAGTGACTGAAAATTTTTATCATCAAGCATTGATCTGCTGCTGCCGACAAGGGTGATTAATTGCCTGTAATATTTGTTTACAGTGCTTCCTCATCTTCTTGAAGATAGATACTACTTTAGACAACATTGGTTTGTCACCATCAAGCTTTGTGTTAGCCTATGAGATTGTGTGCAACTGATCCCACAGTCCACTCGCTTAAATCCATATACATCTAATGCGCTGTAGATATTTCTTACATTTTTTAAAAATGTATCCTCATTTAAATGGCATTCATAGGGAAAATGTGTTTACAAAAATGTGCTCTTGACAATCACCTTGAAATTGATTTGATGGCTTGGATAATCTTGCAGTTTTTCAGACTCTTCAGTAAAACAATATAACAGTCCACGATTCTGAAAGAAACTTTACATGAGACTAGTAACTTATCAGTGAATAGATTCATATACCTACTATAAATTTTTTATGGTGAAATACATGGTCATACTCTTCTAGATAATTCTCAGCCAATCATCTTTCTTTCTGGAATGTTTTAACCAATCCTTGTAATGAAGTTCGGGCCATCCATTTTTTTAGACCTCTCTTGAATGATTAATTCTCTTCTGAAGCATGTTGTAATAAAGTGAGATTGCAATAATCTAAACAATAAGGCAAGTACAGTAGCCATATCATCAAAAGCCTTTTAAAAATGATGTGTTTAATGACAAAATTTGATGGTTTTTATGCTTATAAAAATGTTTCATACATGTTGGTGGGTGTATTTATTTTCAATTAGCCTTTGATGCAAATACAAAATGGGGAATAAAACTACTAGGATTGCACCAACAGCATCTGTGATTTGTTCCTTCTAATATTTTACATATAACTGCCCATTTTGTACCAACAGAATGACTTACAAATGAGATTGAATCATGCTTTGCCAAGGATGTAATTTTAATGTGTATTTTTGAATGATTTTGAGATTTTCCTACATTTTGAGGAACAAATATTTGGCTTTTAGAATAAAGTAACGTTACTTTTTCATCATAATTTCAACAATATAAGTATTAAATCTATACATCATTTGAGTTAGCTATTCTAGTTCCCAATTAAAAATTATCTTAGTACCATATTCATCGAATCTTTATCAAGAAAAGACTTGCACAAACTATTGTGTAATAAACTTTCAGTTTACACTGTTCTTTTAGTATACTAGCTGATATATTTCTGATATTCTGCATGGTTGGTATCATTTTGAAAGTTGAATAAATGCTGACAAGCATGTGAAATACTTGTATATATCTTCAGTATTTAAAATATCTGAGTGACAGATTGTTTCAGTGCCTATGCTAAAATGATTAGTATATATTCCTGATTATTTTGCACTGTTCACACGTAGATCAGTTACTGGACATTAATGTATTTTACCTATGTATTACTCTGTTTTCTGAATAATACTGATAAAGAATATTGAACATTATCCTTTATTACTTAACAAGTGCCAACTAGGTTTAAAATAGATTTAAGGTAAATGTTGTATCTAAAACCCATTTTACATTTTTGGTACTGGGGGTTAATATGACAAAAAAAAATCAACTAAAGTTAGAAAACATTTACACACACTTATTATTATTTAACAAATGAGGGTGTAAAATAGAATAAGCTTATTTGATATACCATAGGTAGAACGTATTGAGTCTGTTAATCAACATTGCTTATTCTGTTGCATATTCTCCCTAATTTACCTTCTGCCATTATTATTATACATGTAAATCATTATGGAGCTGCCATTTTTTCCATATCTAGATTATTAGTACATATTTTTTGTATCAGTAAATAACATTAAATATATTCTATTTATTATTCTGTATAACTGAGTATTGACCCCTTATTACAACAATTTATATAGTTGTATGAATCCAGTCAAGAGTTCTGTTCACCCACTAATATCTATAGAAAATATTCATTGATTAAACAATGTACCCATTTTGTAATATAACGGTTGATTAGTTATAGAGCATTACTGATTTTATTTTTAAGTTTGAAAGTTTATTTTCATTAAGTTTAAAACATTTTTGATAATATTCTCTCTCATACATTTGGTACCCATTGAAATAAATGTTATTTTAGTATTTTGAAAGAAAAACCTTCTTTCTTACAGATGTTTAATCATATATTTCACTGTAGAAACAGAACTTCTGAAAGTTAGTACTTTCAAGGTGACAATTATGCAACTCCTAGTTATCACTGTAAAAATGTATTTTAAAACAAAAAGATTTATTCATTGTATCTGCAGCATATTCATTTAAACTTGATTTAACTTGTTATGGAAAGGTGACAAACAGACTGGTTTAGTCTTAATGAAACAATGAATTACTAATTACAAAAACAAAGAGATGTGTAGAAATTAGATTGAAATATGAAAATTGGCTATTTTTTAGAATAATAAAAACTAGAGCATCTTTTTGTTATGTTCTTACTAAACATGTTTTAAACATTTAGTACATAGAATACCTTAGTACAAATATCTTTATCAAATATTTTAAGTATTGTAGTCTTGGATATTTTTTTAGTTGATGTTTTTGAGAAAAAATCTAATTATGTCATAGCCAATTCACAATGCTTGTCTGAGCATTCAAAGGTTATACTATCACCCAGACATAATCTACCTCCCTCATAAACTGTTTTTCTTTGAGCATATTCCCTATTTAAAATAGTTTTATGTTTCTGTATATTATGAACAGTGGAATGACATAAGTTCTGAATAATTTAATATTTCAAGACTTAAGAATTTTAAGTATAAACTTCATATCATAAGCAGCCACTAGATGAAAGAGTTATCAGTTTTTAACCATGTTTTGACCGGTGTTATGTGTGTTTGTAAATTAGGTTTTGTCTGAGCACTAAGGTTTTAAGGTATCCTATAAAATAATTTAATTTTCTAGTCAATTATTTGTGACACTGTATTTCAGATCAGATAAAGTTTTACATTGTTTACTATTTATATTTAACATTGTAAACTGTATGTATTTTTTTTTTTCAGTTACTGGTAAGTTGTCATTAGTCTAAAATGTAATGTTTATTGCAAATTGAATTTAAGCTATGGAATTGGCTAAATGTTTAATACACATATTTATTACCATAGTTAAGTTTTCCTTCTTTTTTGTATTTATGTGAAATATTCTTTTAAATTTCTCATGCCAGTTTAGTTTCTTTATGTAAGACTATTTCAATGCCTGTACAAAAAACAAAACAATATTTTGGCCTTATTGCTAAGGTTTGTATTACAAAGCCTTATTTATGTGATTGTTTATCATGTGCAAAGCAGCCTGATTAACATTAAGCTAAATCTGCATTTAAACATTTTACAAGAAATCCAATCGTTATTCCCATCTGTAATTTCTAAGTAAACATATATAATACATAAACTCATTTATCCTGTTGAAGTTTTATTTAAGTTATGTTTTATGTTATGTATTCATAATTAGTAACAGTCTAGGTAATTTCACTTCAAAACCATCTGATTTTGGATTAACTTCAATTTGTATTGGCATCCTTCCCAATGTGTGTGGAATAAACTAAATGACTCAGTCACAATTAAAACTGCAATCTTATTAGACATATTCATACTTATGATATTTTTCAACATTTATAGATAGTCTAAAAACACTGTCACAGAAATAAAAGTACATTGGATAATTCTGTCATTAATAGCTCTTATTCTTTAATGCAGGACTTGATGTCATATTATTTTCCTCGTTATGCTGGATAATAGAATTTCCATCTACAGTAAACTGAATTTTAGGATTTCTTAACACTTCCTGTAATTAGATAAAATTTTAATCATTCAATAATTTTTACTAATTCAGCATTTTATTAGTTATCAATATTCAATTTATACTTTGCTTTTACAATGTAATTGTGACAATAAATTATTGATTAATGCCAGATTGTCAGAATAGCTTTTATATTCTGTGGCTTTGTCTGCTGTTCTACTTCTCAAGAACTTCTGTTACAAATACTGTGAAAAATAGGGCAAAACTGAACTTCTCTTAAAGTGAAAACAAATGAAAACTAAAGGTACATGTTTTAATATGCTACCTTTCCCTTTTGATAGTTGTAATTAATTTGAGTAGTACTGCTCTTGATATGTTAAGGTGAGTTTATTTTAGCATATAAAAGATTATTTTGATTTAAACATTGTGTATCCATCATTATAGTGTTATTGAGGTTGCAGTGCATATATAAATACTTTATTTATTACTATTGAGGTTAGTCTTTAGAAAAAATTATATTAGTATTTTTATGCATAAGTTACAACACTTTATGAAGTGAGTATAAAGTTTACATGAATATCAGAGCAATACACATGAAATAAGCTATGAATTTATTATGATAGATTACAAAGATATACCTTGTCTATTTTATAATGATAGCATTGTTTCCAGAAAAATAGTTTAATTGATACATTAATGGAATGTCTTGTAGAGATATTGTTTTATATAATTATTCTTAATGATGGAACCTTTAGCACGTTATTTCTTGGGTTTTCTTTTGTCTGACCGTAATAAAAGTAAACACCAAGATGGGCACTGTGAATATACTTAGGCAAACAATTACGAGAACATTGTGGAGATTTAACATGAAATTCTAGTTATTGCTAATCATCATGGTTCTAACCATACGAAAATTTATATAGTACATTTGTGTGAACACTTATTAGCAGTATTGCTAATCTGTACCATATCTTGTATCCTTAATTTTTATTCCTCTATTCCTTTTAGGATATTCTTTTAACTTTGTTTATTAACCTGTGTATGTAATAGTTGGTACATAGGAATGTTCCTTCACATATTTAGTTTGAGATTAGTGAACCTGTTATAAGGTTTTGGTGAATTATATATATATATGTGTGTGTGATTAAATGTGATTTGTTTCCAGTATATAGCACACTATCCATTCAGATTTACTGAAAATGTTATACTACACATAAAACAGTAATTCCAGATTTAGCACCTTATTAAAAACAATATTAAGAAGCTTGTAATGTGTAGGAATTGTTCTAAAAGCTGTCATCAACCAGTGTTATTTTGTCAATGTACATAGCAAATGCTGCATTCTTACCCTTCAACACATTTTATGAATCTATTCAACTGTAAAATAATTTTGTTGGTTCATAAAGGTGGTTATTTAGATTTAATAATGATATGAATGTATGAAAATATGTTTTTACTTTCATCATGTAACAAATTTACTTTCAAGATTAATGAATGGTTTATGTCATAGGTACTCTAAGTCACTAATGATGTCTAGTTTATGCTTTGTGTACTCTACTTATCAGTGCATCATGTTTGTGATGATGATCTGTAAAAGCTATGATTTGATAATTATTATGGGATACAAATTCCATAGTACAAATTATACAAACATTAACTAGCAGCTTATTCTGTGAAGGTTAATATAATGTTCAAGAACAAAAGTCATACAATTTTGATTTGTGGTGATTTGTAGTGCGATGTTTTTAAATATATGAATGACAAGCAATTAATTTAGTGTGCTGTGATTAATGCTTTTCTATTTCATCATTAATTGTTGTTTTAGTGATGACATAGTTTCGAAGTTTAAAAATATACAAAAGTTAACTATTTTTTGTCATAAAAATGCTAAATGTTTTGTGATAAAGAAAGCATTATGATCGCAGTTAACTTAGTAAATCCTGTTACTCTGTTACAAGGTTTGTAACTGACAACTACCTGTGTTTGAAAGTGTTGTTAAAGATTTTTATTGTACAACTCCCAGTGTTTGAATTAAACAATTCAGTTAAAAGTTTCTCATAATGCTCACTGACTGAAAAGTAGTTCTTTAAATGCATCATATTATAACTCACAATTTTTGAAAATGCAGAGCTGGTGAAAATGTTGTCTGTATTAAACAACATTGTTTAAAATGTGTGAGATGTCTGTATATATCAGCCGTTAACAGTAGATTGTAGGCCTCTATCTGACATTCTTTGTATTCTATGAATGCAGCTTTTTCGCGACCTATTGTTTTATGTGAATTCAAAGATTTTTGATACCAATCAGCTCTTTTAGCAGAGATTGTAGGCCTGTATCTGACATCTTAGTATATTGTTTATGTGCCGTCTGTTGACAAAAAATTGCAGGTCGATACAATACAAGTTTGTAAGAATTGGCAGATCCGACGAATTCATTACCACGTACCTATACATCTGGAAAATTACCGAAGGTTAGCAGTGACGAGCTGTACAGGAGTGTTTTTAGGAACAATAAACAATGGGCTGTGGAAGTTCGTGGTTCGCGCCCCGTTATACCAAAACAAAAATCGCGTTCCGCACTTTGGGGCTAGGGATAGGTAATAAGAGTGACGGTCAAATCTCACTATTCTATTAGCGTAGCCCAATAGATGGTGGCGGTGACTAGCTGTCTTCCCTTTAGTGTATTACTTCAAATTTAAGTACAGATAGCCATCGAGTAGCTTTGCACGAAATTTAACTAACATCAAACGAACAGTAAATGATAATATTTGGTATATTTAATTTTTAGTTTGTGGCATTTCTTAGACACTCATCACATATGTACTTGTATGTAAATAAACCAAAACAAAAGTGTTTTTTATCGAAAGACTGAAGTAGGTGAAAATTACATTTAGGTGGAAAAGTGTGTGAACTTGTTGAGTCCCCCAAAAAATGATGCAAACTTGTTTTTCTTCTAAAGATGCAAAAGAAAGAAAGTTTTCCTAAGTGTATTGTTTTAATCTGACATACGCATTATTTATTCTTTTTCAATTCATTCTGAAACCTACATTTTTAGATATCATTTTGATGTTCTGGAACTTTTTTTAGCAAAG